CCCGGCCATGGCTGGAGCAGAGCTAACCTGAGTGGGGGTGGATGTAGGTTATCTGGTGCAGGGTCAGGGCTTCCTGCCCTGCTGCCTTTGCTCCGGGAACCCCATACCAGTCATGTGCCCTCTGCCTGCCTGGCTGCAGCAAGGAGCACAACTCCATGCCACTGCTGCCCCTACTGCGGCCAGGCAGCCAGTGTGGGGCTCCCGGGGGAAAGGCAGCAGGCAGGAAGCCCTGACCCTGCAGCAGGCAGCCCACATCTGTCCCTACCCTGCGCACAAATCTGGGAGGGCACGTGCCCCCATGCCCCTCTGGAGGGTGCATGCAATGGCGGGAAGCCACCCCCCGTGCCCTCTGGATGAGCCACCCATGGCTTTGTCCTTTTTCCCACCCAAGCTGCATGCACCACCCTGGCTAGGCAGCACCCCAGGATCTGCTTCTGCCCCACTCCCTCCCTCACCATGGGGGCCTCAATCTGGCCTCCCCCATACTCCCTCCTCCCCCTCATTAGACTTACCTGCAGGGAGCAGGAGGGTGCAGGCAGCAGCTGGCAACTCTGATCCTGACCCCAGGTTGGGGTGTAGTTGGAGCTACAGCGGCTACCCACCCTCCACCACTTTGTACTCAAATCCAAGATGAGGACCCTCCATGTTAAATGGCAGGGGGGAAAAACCCTCGTCTTGGTTATGAGTAAATGTGGGAACATTTCTTTAAGCTAGGTTTATCACCGAAAAGGACCAAGATGCAAGAGAAGAAATGTGTTCGTCCTGGCTCTTCAGAAATTAAGGGGAAAGGTATAAAACATTAAAAAGTAGGCAAAATAGCAAATACAGACTTCCTTATCAGGAAGTATTTCAGACTATGAAAGTTTCTCTTTTAAGGTGATTAGAAACAGACCAGAAATAAAAGAAACAGTCCCGTACTGGCAAGAAGATGGATTGGATGATGCAGCAAATCTCTTCCTTAAAGTAGCTTTTCATGCAGCAAATTCTAAAGCCCTTTTTCAAGCAAAACTCATATTTAGGCATATAAGAAACCTAGTCAATGAAAACTTTGCTTAAGAGATGACTGAATAAGAACTACTGGTTTGGCCTTATGATTTGTTGAGCATATTTCACAAGTATTTCACAAACAGGAAGAGACGTTTTTAGTCATCAGTCTGGTTGCCATGGCTTCATCAAACTAAAGATCTTCGTCCAATGTACATATTTTGAAGATTAAATCATAGAATCACAGAAGTAGGGTTGGAAGGGACTTTGTAGATCTTCAAGTCTGACCCCCTGCCTGGGCAGGAGGAAAACTGGGCTCAAATGACCCCAGCCAGGTAGGCATCAAGCCTCTTCTTAAAGACCCCCAGGTCAGGAGCCAGCACCACTTCCCTTGGAAGTTGGTTCCAGATCCTAGCTGCCCTGACTGTGAAGTAGTTCTTACAGATGTCTAATCTAAACCTACTCTCCAACAACTTGTGGCCGTTATTCCTTGTTATCCCGGGGGGTGCTGGGGGAAACAAGGTCTCCCCCAAACCCTTCTGGTCCCCCCTAGTGAGTTTATAGGCAGCCACAAGGTCCCCCCTCAGCCTTCTCTTGTGAAGGCTGAACAGGTTCAGGTCCCGTAGCCTCTCATTGTAGGGTCTGCCCTGCTGTCCCCGGATCATGTGGGTGGCCCTCCTCTGGACCCTCTTAATGTTGTCCACATGCCTTGTGAAGTGGGGTGCCCAGAACTGGACATAGTACTCCAGCTGTGGCCTGACCAGTGTCGCGTAGAGGGGGAGGATCACCTCCTTGGCCCTACTTGAGATGCACCTGTGGATGCACGATAGGGTCCAGTTGGCCCTGCTGACTGTGACCTCGCATTGTCGGCCCATGTTCATCTTGGAGTCAATGATGACTCCAAGATCCCTTTCTGCCTCCGTGCTCTCAAGAAGGGAGTTTCCCATCTTATAAGTGTGCTGCCGATTACTACTGCCCAAGTGCAGCACCCTGCACTTGTCAGTACTGAAATGCATCCTGTTTTTGTTAGCCCACCCCTGCAACCTATCCAGGTCTTGCTGCAGTCTTTCCCTCCCTACTAGCGTGCCCACCTCACCCCAAATTTTGGTATCATCAGCAAATTTGAACAGGTTGCTTTTCACCCTGTCGTCCAAATCGCTGATAAAGAAATTGAACAGTGTGGCCCCAAGGACCGAGCCCTGGGGGACTCCGCTGCCCACTTCCCCCCAGGTCAAATATGACCCGTCCACCACCACCCTCTGAGTACGACCCTTCAGCCAATTTGCAATCCATCTGACCATGTAGGCATCAATGCCACAGTTGCCTAGTTTTTTAATGAGGATGGGGTGGGACACAGTGTCAAAGGCCTTGCTGAAGTCCAGAAAGACTACATCCACGGCGACACCTGCATCCAATGCTTTTGTGACCTGATCGTGAAAGGCAATCATTGGTCTGACATGACCTACCCCTAATGAAACCGTGCTGGTTGCCCTTGAGCATCATCCCCACTGCTGGCCCATCACAGATGCGCTCCTTGATGATCTTCTCAAAGATCATCTTCTCAAAGAGTTCCCCCAGAATTGAGGTAAGACTGATGGGCCTATAGTTGCCCGGGTCCTCCCTCCTCCCTTTTTTAAAGATGGGGACCACATTGGCTATCTTCCAATCATCTAGCACCTGGCCTGAGCTCCACAAGCGCTCATTAAGCCGTGCCAAGGGCCCTGAAATAACCCCTGCTAGCTCCCTCAACACCCTGGGGTGGAGAGCATCTGGACCTGCTGATTTGAACACGTCCAGTCCCTCCAGAAGCACTCTAACCTGGTCCTCCTCAACCTTAGGTCTGGAGGCGTTCCCCTCGAGTCCGTCTTGAATCACGGTGGGGGAATCCCAGTCCCTGCACAAGAAAACGGAGGTGAAGAATTTGTTGAAGCGGTCTGCTTTCTCCTTTGGCACAATCACCAGGTTGCCCAGCTTATCTTGCAGGGGCCCCATGTTTCCCGGTGCCTTCTTCATCCTCCCTATATATTTGAAAAAGGACTTTTTTATTATCTTTGATCTTGGACGCTAGTCCTAGCTCTATGTCCACCTTAGCTTTCCTAACAGCCCCCCTACAGGCCCAAGCAGCGGAGGTATACTCCTCTTTGGAAATAGCACCCCCCCTTCCACCAGGTGTACGCCGCCTTTTTGGCAACCAGGTATTCCTGGACGTCCTTGGTGAGCCAGGGGGGCTTTTGGGCACTCTTGCCCCCCTTGGTTCTTGTTGGGATCGTCACCCCTTGTGCCCTGAGTATCGTCTCCTTAAGGAACGACCACTCATCTTGGGCACTGAGTTCCCCTGCCCTCGAGAACCCCAGCTCCTCTCCCACTAATCTCCTCAACTCGTTGAAGTTGGCCCTCTTGAAGTCTAGGGCTACCGCCTTGACACCCTGCACTGGATGGTGAATTCCATTGAGTTAAATAAAATAATTACATAGATGTAATTATTTTATTTAAATAATACTGAAAGCACCTGAGTTAACAAATGAGTATATTTTAAATTTTATACAAGTATTATTCCAATATGGAAAAGGCAAATATAATACATTCCCTTCCATACCAGCAAATGGAGTTTAGAAGGTGTTTTGCCATTGTTATAAAAAAAACCTTTTGAAGCCATCTGCCAAGTTAAGAGTGTGCATTTATCATTCCCTCCATATAGCAACATTTAATGTTAGGTAATGTTTTTTCATTTTATAAACGCATTATTCTTTTTATTTGAAGAGCATATATAATTCTTTGCTCTTCGGCCACAAAACATTTTTCATATCCTACCAGACAGCTTAATTTCCTGCCAAACTTAAATGATGCACTAACATTTCTTGCTGCATTTTCCAGGACAGCAGAATATCACCAGTCATTTTTCAATTGTGAACTAACCTTGCAGAGTAGGTCTTGACCCCATGCTGGCTGTGTCCTAAAACAAGCACTGTCTATTTGTACCATACCTTTAT